TTATATGCACATCGAATGCTGGTGCCCGAGCATCCAGAGAAATGCATTTTCTAACAAGATGCGTGTATGAAAAAAAAGGCGGCGGAAAACGAAAGTCGGTGATTCGGCGCTGTTATGGATTTTTGACTTCCTTAAACGAATAAATATAATAAAATAAAATATTATCCGCGTAATATAGTACCTATAATAGTCAAAAGGAGAAGCCCGGAGTGTTGCAAGAGTTTACACTAGAATTTCCGTCCATTATCAGGTGTGTGCATAAAATAGCGCATAATATTACTATGTATGTTTGGCGGTTGTTAAATGGCTGACAAAACCGATTAACATCAGATTTTCTACGCGCCGATATCACGTGACGTGATAAGTCACGGTAATAGTATATACACTCATATTTTTTTAACTGTCGAATTTTCATAGTTCACCACAGTTTGCATTATATTATATTTTACACGTCACAGCTTAAAAAAAAAAACAAGTATTTTAAAGCGGCTGTAGAAACTCCTCATTAAATCCCGGTCCGACATATTGTAATCTCTTTTTATATTGGTAGGTACTTATTAATATTATTGAGGGAGCCGAACGCTGTTACGAGTACGGTGAATATATTTATATACCCATTGTTAGTATAGGTAATACTATAATTTGTTTTGATTGTTTGTTGTTTCTTTTACAATTTTCTTTTGTCCAATGATAATCGTCCGATTTAAGCGAATACCTCACATATGGCATTTCTGTCTATAGTATAGGTGTATAAGTTTTTTCATAGGCAACTTAATACAAAATTGTACATTCTTATAAACAGCTATTACGGTATTGAGCTTTTATTTTGTTCGTACATAATACAATAATTTTACCACGTTTAACTTAAAACCTGTGTACATTTAAACGATGTTTATCCTAATCAACATTTAACTTCTAACAATATTATGTTTTGTGTTGTTTCAAAGTTACCAAATGTTGACAGTAAAAAAATGGAATGTTGAACCATTTTTGCGGTTACTTATTATATCGATCATCAAAATATATTATGAAACTGTACGGACATTAATAGTGTACTATTTTAGGCGATATACAAATGCGATAATCTAAATTTTAGCTTCCCAATCGGTTAATCGGCGAACCGAATGTAAACATATTGATATGTGCCAACAAAACAAACCAGAGCAGCGCTTGACACATTTTGATTTCACAGCATTGTTCCCCTTTGTAAGAATCCTGCATACGTACAAAATTGCATTGAGAATAAACGCGTATACTGCAATAATTATAACACCACTGCACAGCCACATGATTATGGATATTTTTCGTCGGAATATAATAAATTAAGGATAACCAGCCGTAATTAATATTTTTGTCTTATAGCGGATTCGTCTTTCGAGTTGTGGTGCAAAGGTTAAAAAATATTATGTTGCAGTCAAAATAACGCAAATCATATAAACCAAATCTAGCGATCAAAGTCTGTACCTACATGTTTTTTTTTCTATAGGTTAAAACCAATGTATACAGATTAAACGAAAACGGTTATAAACACTGCAACGGAGCGGATTAAATCAGTCATACCAGTTATTTTATTTCTGTGAGGCAAATCCCGTGTACCCGTGCACATTGTATTTCCGCTTAACCTTTTAACAACCTGTCGAGCTAATCGAAAAAACAAACGCGATAAACATCATACAGAGTACCATGATTTTAATGTTGATCGCCTAGTCAACTATAAACGAGTTGTGTGTAAAGGTATTTAAATATTTGGATAACAAATTCACTATTTAATAATATTATTATTGTGCTATAACGTATTATATCTCTCAAGATTATTATACTTATCTATTTCGTTCCTTTAGCAATTCTATATAACAATATAATGATAGGATAATAGAGTAGGGCAGTGCAATGTTGTGTTTATCTCAACCGCATGTTCTTCTCCTATCTAGACTCTTAAACGATTTAAAAAATAGTCGGCGATTAATATTATTTAAATTATATTTAAAAAATACGATTCAGAAACTAACAAAAGTACAATTTGGAAAGAAACGAATTTATTACTTTGGGTTGATATAAAAATAAACATTAAGTTGAAAAAAACTTGAAATCGAATTCAACAATCCTAATGCCTACGAGTATTTTAAAAGAATCAAACTACAATAGTAGTATTTAAACTCTAATGTGCACGGTAAACAAAAACAGTACCTTTCATATCTAGTTGAAACTAATCTCACGATACCATACTAGCACATGTACTCTATCTATAATATTATAATGTTGTGTATTTTTTTTATTTCAGAGTATGTTAACGCACTACTTGAATCAAAATGGCCTGTACGCATACAACAAGATATGTTTTTTAATTATTACCGTCGGCATAATATTATCATGGTACGCAGAGTGGATCTCTGCGGTGTGTTACCACGTTTATGCGCCTGCCGAGAAAATAAAAAATAGATATCCACTCGACTAACGCATTTAAAAATCCGAAATCGTTGTCTATTTTTTACCGTTCAAAAGCTTTTATTGCCTCGCTAGCCGCAGAAAAAGAACAGCATGTTAATAATATTATAAAAAACTAGGCCACAAATCTTAGACAAAATTCGAGTAGTAAACAGTGTAGTTACACGTCGCGATGATTGGCAGTCTGCAATGTAAATCGCTTCAGCCAGTTAAATATGTTCGACCATAGAATTGGAATATTGATTTAAAGTACTCATCGGTACTCAACTAATTAAGTAATTGTTCAAAAGCGCGTTTAAATGTTGGCGAGTGCTTATTAGACTGATGCTAATCTCGTCGCCTTGCATCCTCCCCCAGGATTACGCGGCTTAACTGCGTGTACAGATCAACTCAGATGTTAGGCAAATCTGTTGCGCATTTATAACTGTACGCTGTACAAAATGCACTTACTACATTATTATATTAGGCTGTTAGCATTCGATCGTAACATTATTTTGGTTTTACCAGTTTTTATTCGTCATAGTATAACTAATAATCTACACTAATTTAATTCAATATACAATATAATTAATAATATTTTATCATTTAAAAAAAAGGCTTATATATTATTATCGGTGTGGTATTTGGAAATGTCTGATGTGTTGGCGTATCCTGTTTTCTAAAGCTGACAAAGATAATATGAATATTGGTTTTTCGATTCAACATTAAATTACAGTAGTTGGTTTCAAATAGTACAATACAATAGCTAACTATAGGTTATTGACTTCCAAGTAGGTATACGCACAAATATAAATAGTATTTTAAATTATTATTTACATTGCAATTAAATTAAATTTGGTAATGTTTTTTATAAAAACAACTTTTTAATTAGTTTTTCGAAGAATCCAAATAATTATTTATATGTTTAAAATAATCATAAATATTTGTACAACGTCAAAATACAATAGTAAAAGGTACATTAGTGTGTTTTAATATATTATAAACATAATATAGGACTTGGGTTATATTTTCATTAAAGCTAAAATTATTATTTTTATTACTTTTACGTACTTTGGACAATCTCTTAACATATTATTATTACGGATTTTTATCTAACAATAACGAATATAGTTTGTGTTAATGTGATTTTCCATGTTTTATATCAATAAATATAGGCTTAACGCGGTTCCCATTTTCCTGTTTCATATAGATTATAAAATATATTACACATATATCGCCTATTTTGTAATTGGTATTAATCAAATCGATTGAAATCCACAATTTCTCATGTACTATTTTTTTTGTTCTTTGTTACTATTAGATTAGATTAGAGAAAATCTTTTTATCTGATAGCGAACGGATGAACAAACTCGAATACGGCATCATATCATTATATGGCGTAGCGCTATAATGTTTTTTTTTTCGGACGGAAACCTATTCGGCCAAAAATCAAAATAAACGGTAAATCTAAACTTTTTCGGCCAGTTAACTATTCGGCCAAAACTCATAACAACAATTGGTTGTTAGCTCTTTTAGGTCACTTCAGTTTAAATTGAAATAATTAACCGATACCACAATTTTTGGGAACCAACATTGTAAATAATAGATATAATATTTTCTATATTCAAGTTTATTCTAAAAACTTATGTTTTTGTGTGTTGTGCAGCGCCGATCTCGACTATTCAGTCGTTTTCGGCAGTCTGCTCTGGATTAAGCTAGATTATGGAACCAAGTTATTTAATAAATTTAATTTATTCAAATATTATACTAAAAAAATTTTAGTAAAATCAAAATAATTAATAAATAATAACTTGACGATTTTATATGAAGGAGCATTGTCCAATAAAGCTTACTGTTATGTGAAGACTGAATGTTGATGGCAAAAGACGAAGCAGCGAGGTCAATACTTGTTTGTACCGATACATAAACAAAACGCTTAACTTACACAAATACATTAAACAAAAATGTCACTTAAGTATATCTTTTTTCTCTAATACTTGCGGCGACCAGAAACCAGAGAAGAAACAACAATGTCAAGTCCTACTGGATAACTAGTTTTGTACTTATATTTGCCAATTAAAATAACTAAATATGTTATTATTAATCGTAAAACTCAATAGAGTACAAGTTTTTAAAAGAAAACGATAAGTTATGACGGGGGAAAAAAATGTACTCCATTTGGGGAAATTTAAAAGTTTGTGAAATTTTCAGATGTTTATTTTCGAAAAATTCGATTTTTGGACTTCAATGTGTTTTGCATGAAAGGGTCAATATTTATACATAGAATATAATATATTTTAAAGAATATATTTTAAGAAATCATTGGTTCCGAATATTTTATTGTTGGTTTAGGGTTTTGATTGAAATGGCCGAAAAGGTGCTACCCATTTTTTCGCGGGTTATTGTCTTATTCATTTGCCAAAATTCAAATAAAAATATCGCTGGAACGTGGACAAAGCTTTGTTTCTCGACAGTTAAAAACGAAAAATATATTTTTGCACTACTATTTAATATTATTACTTGATAATAAAATAAAATATATTATATAATCGCAAGTACCCGTCGTTTGGGCTTACCTGAAAACCGTTGATGGCCGGGTAAGTGAACGTGCCTTTGGCGCTGGCCGCCACCCACGCTTCTGCGAACGTTTCCATGGCGCTTTGGAAGTCCATTTCGGTTTTTCTCGAATGTTTTGCTCTAACGACGAGATGAGTAGTAGTACTCGAAATATATATTTTTCCGGGGAGGGGAGGGTGTTGCCTATAGAAAATATTGTTTTGAAGTACAACAATATTGCGAGGTGGACCAAAATGTCATTGTCGATCGACCGCCGGACAGTGGATTTTTAATACGCGAGTCGTGACGGACAATGTGATGTACGGACTGAGAGGATGTAGCGGCGCTGTCGGTAGGGCAAAGATATTAATGTAAGCAGCAGAACACGTGGCCACGCGGTCGCGTTCCGGAGCCAACTGACTGAACATGTGCCGCCGCCGCCGGCTGAACGAGTAGGTAATATCATTATTCGCTTGGCAGCCGCCCGAGGCAGCATCGTTCACCTACACCCGGCAGCGCCCTCCACCAGCTACACCGCAGAAAAATATTTACGCCCCCGCCAACCCCCTGGACACCCCAACCAGGGTCCGCCTTCGGCGCGATTATCCTAGTTAACGTGTAAACCGCGTGCTAATTATGTAATTATTATTAAAATATAAACACCCACTCGTTTTGTGATAATATAGGTGTGTACTAATTAATGTGAACACCTAACGAAATGTGTGATCTCGCGTGCGCACGATTTCGTGAATCTAGCGAGGATGGACATTTGTGGACACTAATACTAAACATTTTCAGTATTTCGGGGCTAGACGAAACTCGGCGACTTCGAAGTTTTGACAAAATTACTTTGATAATCTGAGAAAAAAGGTAACATAAGATACGAAGGAACTGAGGTAAATAATAAGAGGAAAACATTAAATTTGCTATAGGCCCAAATATCTTGATTAAAGCGTTATACATCAACGAAAAAAGTCCGGTAGTTAAGTTAATGAGGGACCGTATGAAGTTAAACGGATAATACACATATATGAAGTAACATGCATAATAAGAGATAACATTAGAGGTATGTTCTATACATCATCATTAAAATCTCACTGCACTGGTGTGAATGATACAAGTAGCAACTAACAATTAATATATAAATCACAAGTTTTACCCCTATGATTGCTGGGTTTAACGCTTTACTTGTTCTTTTTGTTGATAGGGACAACGCAGTGGACTGTGTTAATATCAGACGCTACTATTGTACAGCTATAAATTATAATATTATGTTTACCTATATTTTGTTTAAAATATTATTTTTATAAAAACTCTCTTAGAGGCATAGTATGTTATGTTTTTTTTATCAATAACAATATCATGATAAATATAATATAGAGTTGATCATAAAGATTCAGAAAATGTTTAAAACTAAAATATTCGAAAAAATTACTTTTACCGAACCCTTAATAAAAGTTAAAATAACTGTTGATATTTTTAAAAATGTATCAGACGATAGCCACACCGTAAAATAGGGGTTGGTTCCATTGGTTAACCCTTCCAGCTTTTTTGATACGGCTCGATGACATGATGTAGCGAGTAGCAACATCATTTTAGGATCTTAAGACAAACTACAAAGCATAAAAATTGTACCCAACTTCATATCTAGTCTAGTGTATTATTAGTTGTTATTATTTTTGTAAGCGCCAAATAAAAATAAGAAAAGCAACAGCGGACTTCAGATCCGAAGGCTTACGAAGGTTTCGAATCAATTTACCCTAGTTTAGTAGCATATTGGTTTTTTTTTATAAATCCCAAGTAACCTAAATTTTACACAGTGAAATTATTTTCCTATCAATAGATATCTGCATAGATGGGGAAATAAGATGATTATACTTGAAATTAGGATAATTATAGCGTTTTGTCGAACAAAATGCAATGCATAGGTTTAAGGTAGCCTTGACATAAACCCGTGTAGCTTTTGCTCCTAGGACTTGATCTCTAATTGTCTGCCAAGGTATGATTTTAACATTTTTGTCTGCTTTCCTACCATACATCATAGAATAATATAAAGACGCTGTTTTATTTTTACATGATGATAATTTGTAAATAATTGTGGTGATGAAGTGTGGATGAGGTGAGTAGGGATTGGGGATTGTGACTCCTAGTCTAGAATAGAAGTCCAATGGAAAAACAGGCGATATAGGTAATGGCTCCTCTACATTGTTCTTTGCTTCCCATATAAGACATTTTAAGGACTTATTCTTATAAATAATAACTTAACCTTCCTGGTATAACGTACCTAAATATAACATACTACGTTCACGAACTTTAATTGCATTGTCAATTGGTTATTGCAGAAACGACAAAGGTAACATTTCGATATTTATGTATATATTTTAATACTATATAACAAGTTGTGTCTACACAAAGATATGTGTCTAAGAATACTCTACAACTTACAAGAATCCACTTTAAACTCAATCCCGTTAAAAAGCTACGTTTGTTGTTTTTGAAATTACCGGTATAATTGCCTCTGCCGCTATAGTTTTCTACCAGTGTTTGACATAATATTAATAAAAAATAACTGCAAGTGAATTCACTTATATGCCTACAAGTGCACTTGTATGCATAATAATTATCCATACAATTACCATCGATGTGAGGAGTGTACACTGTACAACGAGTTAGAACAGTTTATTTTCCTAAAATACTGATATGGTAACTATTTTTGTCACTAGCTGTCCAAGTATACTTGGATCTGAGTTATGTAAAACCAAAAATAATTAAAAAGAAAAATATACTCTTGTGTTGACACAAGTTATTACATTTTTTTAAATAAACTAATTTTCCATCGAGCCGGGTATAGTCACTCACAACTCGCGAGACAGCTAACAAAAAATCGGCTTTACCAATAGATACAACTATAAAATAATGTATATAATTTATTATGGAGATTATCCGTAAGTATTATATTTTGTCGGTGACGTAACCGTATATGACCGCTGTAAATCCGGATTATGGTACCGCGGTGTACGTTAATCTATATGACAACGAAGGCTAATCCGATTACTTTACAAAAGGTTCGCGTTGTGAAATCGTAATCCTTTAGATTAGAGATACACTTACACACACGCTTTTGGAAGGAGACTGTGGTTAACGGTCGTAACGTCTTAAGACTACCTATTACCTTATACTGTATATTATTATGTATACATTTTATGTGTTTAACCCTATATGTATCGCGAAAAATGAGACGATATCGAGTAACTTAACCCGTCAAAAAGTTTTTCCCTCTTATTATCAAAATGCGCTGGTCACAAACCGCTGCCAGCCATTCTCATAATATTTCTATACAAAATTAATTGGCATTTTATAAATAATATAAATAATTTATTTTTAACTTCGCAACAACTATAATAATAAATTGTATTCATATAATTATTACTAACAATTTATTCGTAGCAGATGTATTTTTTGGAATTAATTCATATGTGACGTCACAGTCGATTGATATTAGAAAAATCTCTAGTTTGCGTCAAACAGCGTTCCTCAGTACATTTTAATAAATGACAGTCGACTTAAACTAAATTAATTGAGTTTGATAGCATATGAATGATTTTAAAAAAGTTCAAAGGTCCCCTGGATCTTTAGAGACCTATACAGTACCAACAAAATATTTCAAGTATTGATAGGTAAATACATTTACTATGTTTGTACACAGAGTATTCCACACCAAATTGTACACTGAGCTTATATGTTTTCATTTCGGATTTTGCTGAATTTTTTTACAAATAGAGCATGTCAAATAAGGTATTTTTTTAAATAAGGGTAATATTTGTTTTGATGGTGTAAAACTGACTGATAAATTAATCCATACAAAACAAGAGCGTCAAAATGTTTGTTTTGATATGTTTTTGTTAAAATTAAAAAAATATGTTAACTGTATTTTTGGTTTTTAATTTAAAAATCAATTTTTTCAAAAATGTTTTGGCATTTAATTGACCATTCGACTAAGAATAGCCTTATTGTAAACTAATAACTTTTATTATAATGTTTAGTTTAAACAACGAAGGTAAACGCGAGATTTTTCTTATTTAACAAACTAATTTTAACAAACAAACTACAACATTAAACAATAATTCATTTTAAAAAATGTATAATATTTTGTACTATATTTTCAATTATAAGAATCAAGAACGCGTACATGTACTAATAGTTTTCACTACTCCGGTCGTGTTATTTGAAAGCCAAATGTAAAAACTTTAACGAAAACGAGAAATCTAAAAAACCATACAGATTGCTGCGAATAACTATTATAAAGAAAAAGAAACAATAATAACACGATTTCCCATGTACAAAAATTAATCGCTCAATGAACACGAGCAATCAAAATCATTTGAAATAAGAACGACGTTTCCGTTCACATTTGTATTGAAGTAATCTGTGCGTGCATTGTCTCGGGACACCGATAATGCAAGATACACACCATTTTTTTTCCTTTATTCACTTCAGTAATATGTGGTTTATTATTTCACGGTAGGCGGACAGTAAAAACTTACAGCACAATTTTATTAAAGATGCCTCGTGATCATTAAGTCACATTTATCTGTCTATTAAATAGTGCGTTAATAAACCCAAGGAATTTGTGATTATATATACTTCTAATACAATAATATGTAAAACATATCTATGCTCACATTAACTTGAAATAAGTCGTCGAGTATCAAATGTACGTTTTTCTATATGCAACAGGTTTACGATTAGCTAAAGGGGTGTCTTATTACACGTAGATGTACACTTGTCTGTCAATAATAAATAAGTATACTAATAATTATTGTCATGATAAAAAAAATTACATTTTTTTTACGATAATTATTATTATTACCTACGCTTGCACAATAAATATGTGTGTAAACTGTAGCTTTATTCTATATTGTACCGTCGTGCCTACTATTTGTTTTAAAATGTCTTGTGGTAAACGATATTAAGGTATTAAAAACGGTATTACGATATACGGTTTATCTGTAGTTTTTTTAAACTAAGGTTGTAACATTTAAGACATATTATTGTTCTTAAGTTCGAATTAAAATTAAACGAAAACATTAAATGATTTTATAATATATTATTAATAACCATTTGTAGATATTTTTTATTCGCCAGCAATATGTATACAAAGCAAATTAATGTTATTAAAAAATGAATTTATTGAACCGAAAATGATATCAAAACCATATTATGTACTTTACATTTTAATTATTTAACAATTTAAGTTTTGTGTTGATTAGTTTAAACTGAATTTCTACATAGTTTTTTCTTGATTGTTTTAATGCCTTGCTGTTAAAAAAAACAATCTTAGATAATCAGAATATACCGAATTATAAATATATATTTACCTATATATATTTATTAACACCA